ATAATGATGATGATGACAATTAAGGTGATGATTCCGAGGATGTTAATGATGATGGGAATGATGATGATGGGGATAATGATGATGAATGCACGTGTTTATATTAGGCTTCTCTGCTTGCTTGCATGCATTACGCACAGGCTGACAAAATCAACCCTACTCACTTTTTTAACCAGAATAACAAATAATAGAATAAATAATAAATTTATTTTTAATTTTAGAAATCCAATTTAATAATAATTACACTAAATTAATTAAACAATTAATTACACTAATTACACAATAAAAATCTTACGATACTTCAAGGTTTTTATATGTTTTTGACATGGGCTTTCCAGTCTTTTTGTTTACATCGTACAAAATAAATTACAAGGCACCAAATTTTTTAAAAATAATCAACATTTAAGAAGTTTTCACCAACTTTTTTTGAAACAAACTTTGTTAAGAAATAAAGTAATAAGAGGCAAATCTTAAAAATGAATATGCGATAGGATGATGATGTGTGAAGCGATGCGGTCGGTGCAAATAGAGACGCCCCGCCACAACGATGTGGCTCCGTTGCCTGCCTCTCTAATGATGACAAATTAATTGAATGTTAACGTGGATGATGGTACCATTCTGGCATATAAAATTATCGACAGAGATTTCTGGTGGTAAAGATGAAGAATTCGACGCAGATTAGAAGAGATGACAAAACTTGTTTAGCATTCATGTCAACATTCATCAATTTTGACAGCAAAATAAGATCATGCTGACAGCAACTATAACACCAGTGTTGACATTACAATGGACCTCTATGTTGACAACAATTATAAAAGCTATGATGACAATAATTACAACTGGTACTACAAAGATTAGAGCAGTTATGGCAGAAATGATGACTTCAGTGACAGAACATCAACGAATGTAACAATAACAGCAGCAATGTCAGCAGAAATAACAATAGCAATGATGACACCAGTGATGCCAGCAATTATAACAGAAATTATGTGAAGGATGAGTATGGCAGCTAGAAAAAACCATAATGTTAGCAATGATGTCAGCTATCATCAGAGCTATGAATGATTCCGAGCATTTCTGTCTGATAACTTCAGTCATGTTAGGCAACGATGATGACAGCAATGCGGTGAAGAAAATTATGCTGATATGGATCACACGGCCGCACGCTCTGCTATCGATCGTCTTAAGAAGAGGTAGGAATGTAGCGTTGTAATGCTGACGTCGAAAAGGAAAGATTGTCAGCGGAGAAAAAAATTTTTATTCCATTCTTTTATAATTCTATTTTTTTCAAAATTAGTAATTATTACTAAATTATATTTTAATTTGTAAACTAAATATTCACTACCGCAAAAATAATTGGTCCAAGTATTTAAGGATAGCTGAATAAACTTTATTAATAAAAATATTTCATCAAGTGCGGTGTCAAGCGAGAAATTCGCTGGTGTGAACAAAATTTCTTGTTGAAAAGATGTTTTTTCTCGTTACCCAAATGCTATTAAAAACCTGTTTAAAGTTTAATTCATTTTTATTGTTGGGGGAGGCTGAAATAGTTTCACAAATTTATATAAAGATTTGTCTCAATTAGCCATAACCCTAGTTAAATTCTTCATTGCTGAGACCCCTGCCTACGCTACTGATCCAGCTTATATGTTGAGTATTCAACACATTCAACTGATACTTCAAAAAAGCTGCCGCCAAAACAGGCAACATTAATAACCATTGTAATGCATGAAGATTTTACGAAAAAACTTATTAACGTCGACTTTAGAAAATAAATTAAATTTTTTAAATTTTTATAACATCTTAAAATTAATTTTAATTAATTTTATAGATTGATTTTTTACACGAGCCCCTTGACCAATGAAACAAATTGTATCAAAAATAAAATAATTTTTAAAACTCTATTTTAGTTAAAAATTCATTTAAATTATTTTTAAAAAGAAGAACTTTCACACGGGGTCCCTGGCCGTCCGGGGCCCAAGCAACTGCTTAGTCTGCTCTAGACGTTAGATCCACCTCAAGTGTTAGACTTAAGTGTTGTTGAGACTATTCGACAGCTAGAAAGTGTAATTAATTATTGAAATACATTTGCTGGTAATAATGCTTTCAGCAATAAATTAAGCTTTCGAGTCAGACAATCATATGCGCACAAACACTCACGCTAGAACGGACACACATATGCACATACACCCATGCAAACACACACATCAGCAACATTATAATTGCAACGACATTTTTTTTTACTACTTGAAAGCACTTGTTAATAATCTATCCTTCATTTTCACCCACACAAGATCAGTTGGTTCATCATAATTTGTTCCTATCATGATTGCTCTGCAGTCATTTCTCCACTCATTTTAATCCAAAGTTATGGCGTGTTATGGAATATAATTGATCAATTCTTGGCCTAATACACTTTTAGGAATTAATAAGATTGGATGAAAAGCAGTCAAATGTCGATAATGTATCTCGAAACAGAAAATAATTTATAGAGAAAAATTGTTTAATCAAAAAACTAAATTGCAAACGAAAAAATGTTGAAAATCTTGATTGAAAAAAAAAAATTAAATATTAAAATAGTAGAACTGAAAGCCAAAAGTTGAAAATTCCTATCCAAAAATTTGAAATTTATTTGTTACTAAGCTAAGCTAGCCAAGAAAATATTTGAAGATTCAGATTTTTGTTGAGTCTAAAATTATCGAAAGATAAAAAATAATTATGTGTGATCTAATGTTTATAAAATTGAAATGAGATTATTAAATTTAAAAACAAGGAGAAGAAGAATTGTCTTCTGTAAGCATGACAATCTTTAGAATATAATGGAAAAAATTGTGAAAAAAAGCGTTCGAATGAGCGCTATACAAACTCTACATAGTAATAAAAATAATAATAATAAAGAAGTTCATAAAAACATTTATGAATAAGAGGTTTCAAAATTAAACCAAGAAGATAGTGTTGTTTATTTGAACTTGCTGGCGACGACCACTGAGATAGGTTGGAGAACATTGATGTGCTGTGCATGGTCTCCGCTACCAGGCTGTGACAGCTTGTTAGATCAGTAGAATCAAATGCCTTGTTTAAATCAAAGATAGTTGTAGAAAAACCTTTTTGATTCAAACGGCTCTAAATATAAAACTTTCCAAGTCAGAAAAGGCTAATTCCGTAGATAATTCGAGACTGGCTGTTAAGAGTTATTTCACTGAAGAAACTGAAAAAGTTTCTAGAAGAACAGTCTATCGACGATTACTTGAAATTAAGGTATATAGCAATAATTGGTAATTTTTTATTCTCACAAAATTTAAACGTTAGTAGCTATCCTTTCAGATACTTGAAAACATTCAGAAAAAGAAAAATTAACGTTAGAGAAGGATGGATTAACAAGACGTTGAAGAAAAAAAAACAATGCTAGCAATTGTTTACTCCAGCAATAAATTAGAAATAAATTAAATGGGTGGTTGTGACGAGGACTCGAGAACCGGTTGAATTCTCCAAATTATTTTTATGCCCCATGCTTCTACGTTAATGCATTTGTAGATTTCTTAATAAATTTCTAAAACAAATGTGATATGTTGTTAAAAAAACTTAAATTGTACAATGATGAATGATGTTTATTAAGAAAGTTAAACAGCAGCAAATCGTCATTGACCAACACGCATCAACGATCTTAATGAAACAATTAAAAAGTGGACGGGTCAATCCAATGTGAAGGTTTTCATCAATATTACGTTAGTTCAATATTTTTTTGCTTATGAAAATGAAACACTTCAAAAATTTTACAAAATTCAAAAAAAATTTTTACGCTTTATTTATTTTCAACAGCCAAGAAAAGATTTAAATTTTTTGTTGAGTTAATGCTGCCACCTAAAGTACGCTATTAATGTTTGAATTGTTATTTAGCAAGGACGCCTTTTCTATTAAAAACGCCAGTTAGTAGAAAATGGCACTGCATAAATTATGGTAGCTAGCTGATGAAACGGAGCATTTGCGGTCTTCTAACCGTTAGGTTCTTTGTAAACAAAATATATTTCGAGGCTCTAGATCATACAACCAGCCATACAAGTATACACGTAGCTGTGCTTCAATTTTATGCCATGAAACGTCATAATTTCTCTACCACAAAAATAACCGTCTTATACGACGCAATTTTTTTATTTTTTATTCGATCACTACTCATCAAATCTAAAAACAACAATTATCAAAAAGTTTTAATTTTATAATTCCAACCCTTATAATAGAATTCACCCTGGATGTCCGCGTGTTCATCATTGTTATTCATCATCATTAATCATTTCAACCGTCCAACATACAGTCCCCTAATGCAGCTCAACATTCCCTACCAGAGATAACGTCGACGACCGCTTCATTTTCAATACAACAGCAAACTTATGATTTACGACATGCTCGTTAAAAAATCTAAAATGCCAATAATGTGAAATGCGAACTCTATTGTTTCATTTTCTGGTAGCTCAATCTTAGTTACGTTCATTATTATCTTTTTCAAAAATAATTAAAGAGTAGTAGGCATAAAATATTTAACTTCAGCTTGCTTAGGCGCTCTGTGTTTATGTTTATTTTTTCTTTAATTAAATTTTAATTTCGTGTCGTTTAATTTATAAAATTATTTATGCTTAAATTTCAGGTTAAGTACTATGTTGCCTTATAAAGCAACAAAATATTTAACTAACCCTAAGAAGGTTAGTAAAACTCTAGCAAGGTCAGTGGCATAACAAAAAATATTTTAATGGGAGAAGGTTTAGATTTTATAACAAAAAGTTGAGCAACTTTATTTTTTATCTCATATTTTGTAGCAATTATTTTGTTTCTGTACCAAAAAAATTTTTGTTGTTTTAAGAGGCTGGAATTGTTATCATTTCAATTTTATATCTCAATTTATATATAAAATTCGTATAATTTATCCTTAACTCTAGTCAAATTTTCTGTGGGAGCTGCAGTCCAAAACACCCGCATGGCTACACTCTTGGTTATAATATACTTACTTGTGCATGTGCACAAATGTCACTTACATGAAAGCTTTGTATTGTAAATACCAAATTAGAAGTTAGCGATAATTGTAATTTTGGTGTCCAGAAAATTCTTTACAGAAAATTCTTCGCAGGGAAATTTATTCGCTGGAAAATTCTTCGCGAAGAAAATTCTTCGCAGTTCAGAAATTAAAATTATGAGTCAATCAACGTACATAATCCATTATGTCACAATTCGTATAATTTTCCATATTTCTTCACATACGTATGGCAGTATCACGACAGCACTTTTTAATTTTAAGGTCTATATCTCCTATACCTAGAACCGGGCCTGCCTCCAGAACATTAATGATGCGTCTAAATTTGTTACATGAACAAAAATTTTCAAACCTTGTTTGTAGGCAGGCAAATTGTTTTGCACTCCTTCAGAACCAAGAGACCTTCAGTTGAACAGCAGAAGCAATTACAAGTAACAAACACATCAGTGACCAAACAAGTCAACCGCTACTCAATGCCCAGTCAGATTTTTGTGGTTCAACATAAACCCTTCATCATCTGTTCATCCTCTCAGAAAAATTACTTTTCAATCAAAATAATTATTTTTAGCACTTGAAAAATTCTGAAAAAAAATCTTGATACAAAAACTGCAAAGTGGCTGAATTGGGGACGGCGTGATGGTTCAATGGTTAAAGGCGCCGGGTCGTGCTATTGCAATGACTGGGTTTGAATACAAAGAGATCCCCGCCTATCATATGCAATGTGTATGATGCGTGGTTTGCACGCGTATTCATATAAGCTGTGTGTGTTTGTCGTTGAAACCTCTGAAGCTAACGCAAAAGAGAGAGAGTAACCTTTTAACCTTTACTAAGCAAACAAAAATGTTCTATCTTCTTTCCTCATTTGAAAAAAAATTTTACTACATAAATAATTGAAAAATTTTCCATAGCAGTTTACAACATATATTTTTTACGTATATGTTGATGAAGATTGCGTAAAATATGATTGTTTCAATATTCAAAGTTGCAAAAATTCATATAAAAAGTAACATAAATTCAAAACTACGAAAATTTTGTAAACAAGCTGAGACCAACAAAATCATTGTATACATGAGCTCGACGAACTACTATGCAAATTATATTTCTTATCTTTTCTATATATTTTCAATCAAAAATTTATCACTTCCTATTCCTACGGAGAATGAAAATAATATTCACGCACGATTAAAACCACGGGATTATTGAGTTGAGCGTTGGCAGTTTTATTAATCACAAAAATACGTGTTGAATATCAGTTGTCAGTAAAACATTGGCTTTTTATTCAAGCTATGCATCCAGAGTTAAATTAAATTGAAAACAGAGCATGTTGTCAAATGATCAATTCAAAACTGACTATTTTAAATTCTTTTGAAATAATTTTAATTGAATTTTGGTTTAATTTTAAATTAAACAAAACTGCCGAAGCCAAAAAAAGCAAAAATTTTCCAATGTTACTTTAAATGATGCATCTGAAAAAAATTTTTTACTTTTTGTTTCATTATTTAAGAGCCGAAGCAATATAAATTGAATGCCTTACATTTCTTAACAACAATCGGCCTCCCGGGTTAACTTCCAAACTAAAATTACTTTTCAGATTTGTAAAATGTGTTTAAATTTTAATGAGCTGACAACTTAAACAACATTTGTTTTGTACAGCTTCCTATTCTAAACTTTAATGAAATACTGGGAGTTTTTATGGGAAACTACGTACGTAATAAAATGATGTAGAAGCTGCTATCTGCAATGTTGAGATGTATATAATGTCATAAGCCTTAACAATTATAAAATAAAGCCACTCTTGAAAAATTTACGCTGTTCACAATAGTATGTATCAACTTACAACAGGGAAAACTTATTAATTTAACAATACCCTTTGTTTAAATTATCCTATAAGACAAGTTTAGACAATTAGATAAGATTGATGAGCTCGTGCATAGGTTATATACTTACATATGTACATTTCTACATACAACATTCTTGATAATCTCATAAGTTTTTTCCTGATTTTTTATTCATTCATTTTTTATTCAATCATTTATTAATCAAATTAATAATTTATTTTATCCAACCGTTTTAATTTTCGACATTTTTGTTGACGACCATTTAATGCTGTTGTTTGAACAAAAATAATTTGAATTTGAAATTGAAATTATTCGTTCCAATAGAAAAAAAATCATTAATTTGTTTTTCAAATATTATTATATTGCAAAATGTCAATTAATGATTTTCTGTTACAAAATAAGTTATACAAAAAAACAGAAGAATAAAACTTTAAATCTATAATCTCATAACATAATTAAAACAACAATAGATTAAATGATTGATTGGTAATAACTGTATTCTCACTGACCTCATTCCACCAGGCTTGATGACGTTGGTCGGCATCATCATCTACATTGGAGCCATCACGGAAGAAGCCAGTAGCAAGGCGCAATCGAAAGATGACAACCCAGCTTTCATATACGAGTATGGACCCTCTCTCCTGCTTGCCATGATCTCCTTCGTCGGCTGCCAAATGACCGGGGTCGTCTCCATCAACCATTTCATATCGGTCAGGAAGGGGTTGGGGAGATTGAAAGTGAAAAAAAAAATTTCTGATAGGGTAAGCGCAAGTGTTGTTGTTGGAGAAAACGTTGAAAAAAATAAACTGTGCTTCAAAACAATATATAGCAACAAAAATTATAGTGGCAACATTGGTGATCCAGATAATTACGACACTAAAAAAAATTTTACAAAGTCTTCAAATCTGTTGCCCTTTCAAGTCAACCTTATGTTAAATGCAGCAAACAAGTTAGTTTCTATTGTCGGCGTGAATAGCTCCAAACTGAAACAACAGGACAGCGCTGAGTCAACTAACAACACAATAATATCCACAGAATCTATAATGTCACCTGCGTCAGAACGTACAACATCATCCCTCGGCAGGTTCAAACAGAATTTAGGTCACAGATCTGAAACTCTCTACACGATGAACGGAGAAGCAAGCTGTATTTTTAGATGTCCAGACACAATTGCTGCCAGTTCTAGTCCAGAATTGAGTCCAGGAGTTGGTGAGATAGCAGCAGAAGAAGGAGCAATTAGAGGCTTGTGTCTCTTGAAAGGCAACCATTCTTCTGAACTAATCCTTTCGTGTTCGTCGCTGGCTGCACTATCACCGGGCATGCATACAGAGAAAGAAAACAAGTTCGTCAACCGACATCGAACATTGCAGCAAAAAATTATGAAACAGATGACGTTGAGACAACAACAATTTTTATATCGACAGCATCAACTTAAGCAGCAGCAACATTTCATGCAGAAAGAACAGACACAACTTAAAATAGAGCCATCTGAATTATTAACCAAACAAGTTCAAAACAAATCTTTTCATCATCCGAAGCTTAACATAATCCATTCAGATTTGTTATCTTTTTCACAAAAACAACATCAGCCAAAACATTCCAACTTTCATGATAACCAATCGCAAATTCCACACCACTACTATCAGCAAGAAAAGTTACAGCAGCAACAACAACAACAACAACACCAGCAGCAACAACATCAGCAACTGCAACAGCACCAGCAACATCATCGTCAACAACAACAAAACATAAATCAAATAAAACATACAAAACAAATTGAAGTTGGAAACGAAAAACAAGCTGCAAATAGTAGACAAACAGTTGAAGTTGACTCATACAACAACTTCACAAACATTAAAATGGACAACTTTAGCAATAACTTAGTTTTTGCATACAATGAAACCATTTGTCATAACGAAGATGATGTTTGTGAAACCTTAAGTACGAACATAGAAAACAATGATAACATTAACAAAATTGAAAGCAATAATGTTGGCGAAAACATTATAAACAACGACTACTTCAACGACAACCATCCAACCAGTTATTCCACATTCCACAAAACCACCGACCATTTAACTTCGAAGGCCTTCAACAAATATCACTTTGAAGAGTTTCTACTAACACAATCAGCCAACCGCCAACGTAACGATTATGACGATGATTTCATCATTTCAAACGAGGAGGAAAGTTACGTCGATAACGATTATGATAATGACGGTGAGGATAAACAAGAACGCACCACATCCGTTTGACTGTTCTTTGCATTTCGATGTATGTAACGTTCAAAATTAGATTTTATGATACAGTAGTGATACATTATTTTAATGAACGCATTCATGTCAGCGCAGTGATACACTGACTGATGCAACATGAAGTAGTTTATACTTATAAATATATTTGTAACACTTCTAGTGTTGTATTTGTGCTGCATGCAATGTTTTTATATAACATACTGCTGAGATTAATTGATGTCATCATTTACTGAAACTATATATATATATATATATATATATATATATAAAGTTATAGTTAGTTATTAAGAAACATCACCGTATTTTCTGCATTGTTGAGTTTGTAACAAACTCATGCAGAAAATGCGGTGATATTTCCTAATAACTGTACATACGACAGTCTGAACCCAATATATATATATATATATATATATATATATATATATATATATATATATACATATATATATATATACATATATATATTATTGAACAGAGCGTAGAAAAATTAGTTTTCCTTACGTATGTATATATATATATATATATATCCGCATATATATATATAAGTATATATCCGTATATATATATATATTTATATACTGATTAAGACTGTCAGAAATACAATTTTTAATGAAAATCACAGCATGTCCCGCGTTAGTTAACTTCATGTTTGTTTTTTAAAGTTACACCTCGAACAAACTGCAAATTTGATAAACTTTTGGATACAATTGATATCATACATTGTTGCATCAAAAATAAATTACCAATGCCAGTATATACGGCTGCAGATTATAAAAAAAACCTGAAGAAATATTAATTTCAATAATTTATTTGAAATAAAATTACAAGAACTGGAAACTAAATATAACGAACACAAAAACAAACTGGTTCAGACTATTAAAAATTTGTTGTCTCAGGAAACTATTCGTCCACATGGTATTATGCGTAAAATGAATACTGTTGGTGCATGCAATATTAACGGAGCGTAGAAAAATTATTTTTCCTTCCGTATCATACGCTAAAGTCAATCTCAAACTGTTGCCACTGAATCTAACGATGAATTTTTGATAGCTGTACATATTCTTAGCAGCGCAGCTAATTCATCATATGGAATTGGTTGTGGTGAAAGACTGGAAATGTATATTTTATCTATTATTAGGCCGATTGTGTTGAAGCGCCTTTCATTGGCCCGGGTAACACACCATATCAACAAATAAACGGTGTAGCAATGGGCTCTCCA